TCCTAAGAGAACACAGTGGTGAGCCACCTGGGTTTATCACAGCCCTTGTCGGCAATTCATAGCGCAGTGCAAGGCTGTGCTGCAATCCCCATAAAACAGAAATTCCTATAAAAAGATATATTTTTTTTCAGCACTGGGGATTGAATCCTGGGCCTCTGCACTGAGCTATATCCCTGCCCTTTTTATTTTTTGAGACAAGGTTTGGTAAGTTGTGCAGGATGGGCTCAAACTTGGATCCTCCTGCCTCAGCCTCTCAGAGTGCTTAGATTGCAGGCCCCCTCCAACAGGCCCTCTGAAGTGTATTTTTTTCCGGTGTCTTTTCTAGGAGGCGTATTCCTGAGAAAGTCTCTCTGGGTGTGACAGGCTGTGGTCTGGCATGCTCCGATTCACCGCACGATTGCTCCAGTCACCCTTGGGACACGAGGCAGGCTGTAGGCTGATCCCTCCTCGCCCGCCCTGCACCTCCTGGAACAGCTCCTGGGCTCCGATGAAGCCCAGGGCCCCAGCGGGTGGTGCCTGGCGACGGCGCTGAGTGGGGACGCCCGTGCTTCCCAGCCCAGCTACCCCAGAGCAGCCAGGCAGAGCTTTGGGCGCCCCTTTCTGCATGTGACACTCACGCGCTGTGCTGCTGTGATGAGCATCCTGCCTGGGCAATGTCAGCGATTAGTCACCAGGCAACCTTGTGTCACGTGTTACTAACTTTGCAAATAAACGCCCATTCTGTTCCTCCGGGGGTGGCCTCGCCAACCAGGCGGACCAGCCACCTCCTGACCCAGCTCTTGTCTTCTTGTCTCTTTTCCTCATGCCAGCCGCTGTGGTGGTGAGGTGTCCCTGAGGACCACACTGAGGGACCAACGGATCCCAGCTCCGGGTCGGACTGCTTTTCTCATTCTTCTTTTACAGCTCTTCTCTTTGATTTTGGGTTCTGGCAATCTGTCTGATTTTTCTCTCTTTATCCTCCAGGGTTTCTGAGCTCCTAAAATCTACACATCTAGGCCTTTCATCAGAACTGGGAAGTGTTAGTTACTATTTCTCCGCCCAAGTTTTCTTTTCTAATCTTTGTCTCGCTGCCTCTTGATTCTGACTAAAGCAAGATACCGTTTGCTATCATTCCACATTCCCCGGAGGCAATCCGCTTTTCTGTTTTCATTTTTGACCTTTTTCTCTCTTCTTCGGTTCATGTAACTTCTACTGAGCTGGCTTCAAGCTCGGAGTCTCCTTTCGTCATCTTTGTTTGGTGGTTAAGCCATCTGGTAAGATTTTTATTTCATGTCTTATTTTATAGTTCTAGGTTCCCCTCTTCCTTCCCTTTGTTTTCTGCTTCTTCCGCAGGGCTAAGACTTGAGCCCAGGGCCTCAGACTGATCTATGTCTTCACCTTTTTTGTTTTTTGGTACAAGCTCTTGGCAGGTTGCCTGGGCTGGCTGTGTGGCCTTGCAGTCTTCCTGCCTCCGTCTCCCAGGGTGCCAGGACTGGAGGCACGCACTGCCCCCCGTGCCTTCCATTTGGTGGTTCTTATAATTTTATTTCTCTGCCAAGACTTCCTGTACTTCCAACCACTTTGGGTTCATTTTCCTTTGTATCACTAAATGCGTCTGTAAGAACCGCTTTCAAGTCTATGAGGGTGTCTTAGTGACTTTTCTCACCCAGGGGACACAATACCTGACAGCCACTGCTTGAAGGGGCAGAGGTTTATTTGGCTTCACAGTTTGTAGACGTTTCAGTCCACAGTCAGCTGGCTCTAAGGCAGGGCAGCATGGCAGAGGGGCCTGCCCACCACAACACCCCAGCCAGTGTCCCTGGGAGCTCCCCTTCCAGTGCGGCCAACCAAGCTTCCACTGGACTAACCCTTCCAGACACACCACCAGGGCTCAGGAAAAGCCTTCCCAGTCCTCTCTAGTCTGGGACACACACAAACACACACACACACACCACACACATATACACACAGACACACACAATCTGGCCTTCCACCCCACCACCATCTAATTTAGATGGTCGCTTATACTGGCCAAACACACCACAGATCCCCAACAAATTACTACTGGACAGAAAGGTCACATCTGCATTGCCAGAGCACAAAGTCAATCACTGAATAAAGAGACAAGAAGGGGGCTGGAGAGATAGCTCAGTGGCTTAAGCCTCTGCCTGGCGAGGAGGAGGAGGAGGAGGAGGAGGAGGAGGAGGAGGGGGAAGACGGGAGGGGAGGGGAGGGGAGGGGGAGGGGAGGGCACACACAGGCTTTGTCTTCTGTAGCGCTGAAGATGCTGGGGCCCCATTCCATCGACACGGGGTCTTGCCAACCCCTGGCCACCAGGCCCACAGAGCTGGGCCACCCAGGATGGCCCGAGCATCAGCCGGGGTGATCCAGAGGGCCGTGGGGACCCCAGAGCCACGGCAGGAAGCAGTACGCATCCTGCAAGGGCTCTCATTTGTGCTTGGGAAGAAAATTCAAGCTCTCTTGGCAAAGGCTTCCTGGGACAGTCAGACTCACCCACATCGCCCAGCGAGACAGAACCTCAGGAGCCGGGAAAGGCGAACAGGGCAGATGCGCACGCGCGGGCTGCGAGGTGGGTGTGGGCTCTGGCTGCAGAAAGTGTCACGCGATTTCTCTTTGTGAAGAACGAAGCTGATTCTGAGGGGCACAGAGCACCCCAGATGAGCAGAGGGGAGCACAGTGGCAGTGGGGAGGGTATCTCAAGCACAGAGACCCCAACAGAATATGCCAAGGGCAGCAGCAGCGAGAGAGGCTCAGGGACACGAGCTGGTGCACGCCTCCCTCAGGGGTGCCCGAGTCCTTGTCACCGTGTCTTCAGAAAGACATATGCTTTTAATAAATAAATGCAATGCAACTCCAGGGATGATCTCTGTGACAAATCTGGGACTGCTATGGGGTGGAGGGTGGGGCTGGGTGGAAGGAGTTTAAGTTTTACGTGCAGAATACAAGCCTGGCCTTAGCAGAGCCGAGAACATCCAAAAAGGAAGAAAGCTGAGGACAGATCTGTTTTCTACATTAAAAGCCATATTTCATGATACCGAAATAGATGAACAAGTCGTTAGAATGGAAGCTTTCACATGGAGAACCTGGTCCAGTGAAAAGCCCATAAATGGCGAAGCTAATGTTCAACTCAGCAGGAAAACATAGAAGAGTCTCGTCTTATATCATGCATAAAAACAAGTTCCATGTGAACATTTACATTTTAAAATAAGACACTGTATTTTAAAATTTCTTGCAAGAAGCCAATTGGAAAGATAAGGATTAGAAACGCAAATTGAAATAATGAATATAATTTTGACTATAAGGTGCTAGCACACGTTAAAATTTTTATTATACTCAAAGTTGGTAAATATTTGGATCTAGGAACTTCCAAACTTTCCTGATAGGAATGAATTTGACAGGCTCTCTGGAAATGTAGTATAGTAATATGTATTAAATACTTAAATGAGTATTATTTAAGGAAAATAAAATTTCATAACACAATAATAAGAGAATAGCAATAGTTAACACCCTGTGTATCATAACCTTGGAAGAAGTTACTCAGAGTACAAGACATAACCAAAAAAAGCTCTTTTACAAATAAGAAACAAATAGATGTTAGCACAAAACTTTCTCTTCAATGAACTAAGAGAAACTAGAAGACTACATGAAATAAATTAGCATATATACTAAATATATTTAAAATACTAGAATGGTAACTTGAGCAATTATTTGAACTCCTCTCTGCTGTCTATTTACCTATCTTGTATTTTGCTGTTTATTTGTATGTATAAATATTTTGAGTTTCTTGTATAAGAGAAACTGCAATATTTAAGCTGCATCTGGCTCACTTCACTTAACATTA